TCATAAACACTGTCTACTCTGTGAAGAAATTATTACAATTCGATCGCCTTTTTTTTTAAAGATTTTGTTTCAACATTAATTTCTACGACAATTCTACGAACAACAGAAAGAATCCTGGCATTGATAACTAAAAGTTTTATTGAAAAACTTCAAAATGTTGCACAGTATTAGAGTTTAGATTAACAATCGACCTGATGTATTACGAAAGCATCGAATTTAATATTTATCGGATCAGTAATTTAACATCTTGAACTTTGATAAAATCTGCGACTCCTCCGTGTGGGCGTTAAACAATTTTAAAGTTTTACGTCAGATAGAGGAATTTAGCGAATATTCAGTAATTGCAAATAAATTAAACAGAGAAAGTAAGAAACTCTATAAATGGTGGTGTTTCAAATTTTATTGCACGTTTGCAGCGTCAACTTCGAAGAACTCACAATAACTCGAAATTTCTTTTTCTTCAAACTGCTTTGTTGTCACAGCTACTCTCTGCATTATAAATAATTTCGTTACGATCGATTATAGTCTCTCTTAAATTGTTTCTCACATACAAAGTCATTTTCACTGTCAAAAAGTTCAGAATCTTCGCGATATCTTTCTTTCTCCAAAAAACGAGAAATAATTTCGACTCGCGAAATTTTAAACTTACAAATATGTGTAATTAATTACGTGTTGAATAATTTATTATAAAATTTGAATTTATAATCAATTGTAAATGATACTGAAGAAAAAAAGAAAAAGGAAAGAAACAGACTTATCTCCACGATTACTTGCATGTCGAGGAAAAAAAAAAACCAAGGAAACTACAATCACAGTTTCATCTACCGTAACTGTTGAACGAGAGAATTGTCAGCTTCGTTTCTTAATCAGTTGACAATTTACTTTTGGTCAATATTAATATTTAAACAACGATTAATTCAGAGAGGAAACGCGGTAAACACATTTGATGGTTTCTGCTGTATCGTTTATACTCGCGTTATGTTTTATTTATGTCGTTTTTACGTCGCGGCGTTTGTTACGATATTACGCGACCTGTTTTTAATTAATCTCTCTCTCTCTCTCTCGAGCACGCGATTATATTGGAATATCGGTAATTATTAATCGTCACGTTTAAATATTTACGAAAACGTAGGAACGCAAATCTACAACACGCGCAGCGCTGAGTTTCAACACTAAAACTATCGATCATTGACGTGTGAAACTCGCAAGGATGAAACAGTGGTAAATTACTGAACTGAAAGTTCGAAATTAGTTGTTGCAGTTTGAAGTGGAAGCGTGTACGAGTTTTTATCTTGAAAGTGGTTCTCGATGGAAATAAAGAAACTGCTGTTCGCACGTGTGGATACATGCTTTTCAATTAATGGCAGAATTTTGAAATGGGAAATCTGTCGATGGATGATCGATAAAAGGGGATTGTTATTGATCGTTGATTTCAAATTGACAGTAGAATCTCCCAATAAAAAAATCTATGGAAACGAATGAATTTCGAAAGAGAAGTGAACAAACGCAATTCCTCGATCGATATAGAGCCTGTGCGCCCTCTTTCCTCCTCCTAGGTTAGACAATATTAGGTTAGTTCGCAATGGGAGCTGGCGTTGCTGAATTAATCATAGCGATCGTCTAGCTGCAGAAAATGCGTTTATTTTATGTATAGTTATAACAGCAGTCTAACGATATCATACAAGCTAATACGGGTCATAATCGCTGTTTTTTGTAGATCGTAACATATACGTGTGTATATATATATATATATATATATATATATATATATACATACATATATATATATCTAAAAATATATAAATATCGCTTGTAGTTGAAATATTCGTTTCTAACCTGCGAAAGTTCTTTATTTATTGGTAATTTAGCGCGACAAAATTTATTAATATTTATTAGATTTGTCATAGAACATATTTTGTCGCTTCTATATATCACACACACACACACACACACACACACATACATACACACATACATAATACACATATATCAAATATAAACTGTCCTTTTTGTTTTTCGATTTCATTCACTCAATGTCATATATCGAGTAGTATCTTTTAGTATCTATATATATACATATATATCTATATATCGATGTACATTATTATATTGTTATTATTATTCGTCGTTAGATTTTTTTTTTATTATCACTCATCTCTATCTTTTAGCAATTGTTTATAAAGGGGTGCGTTTCGTTGATTCCTGACGATCTCACTGACACACGTTGCGAAAGTGAATTTTCCGAGTAAATTTGCTTCACTGTGTGTAGCACTATATATATAATACGCAAAATTACTTAATTAATACGCATATTTTCGTTTAATATCAATTTCGACAACCGTCCTTCCTTCGCACGTTCCAGTCTACAGCCAGTGACCAACATTAAACTCCCGGCGCTAAATTTAATTTACGATAAGCAAGCAAAGCTTCGGGAATTTTTCTGCAGAAGGAAAGCAATTTTAATCGAACGTCGGAGGTTCGAGGAGTTTTAGATTAAATCGCACGATACAGTGGAGTTACCGTTCGGAAAGAAGAAATTACAATTTACAATGGAATTTTATGACGATAATTAGACCACGATAGTGGTTCTTATTTTTGTATAATAATAATTTGATGATAATAAGAAAATTCATCCGTCTGTTGAACATTACAACGAGCATTATATATAAAATATTTTATAAATTTTTGTGCATCAACGTTGGCATCGTGCGTGCTTGCCTTCAAGTTTTAAGAAAAATCCGCAGTCCGGTAATAAATGTAATAAAAGAGCGCATTTTATCGATTTCGTCCACATCGCGACGCCGTGCCACGTGTGCAGTAGAATTTTCGTTTCGTCAGCGATACGACGATTACATTATACTTTCATTACGATCGAGAAATTCTCCGATAATTGCAGTAGTAACAAGCTTCGAATAATTCGTCTCGACGGTAAGGAAATTTTCCAACAGTACTAACGTACGATGAAATTCCATATAAATTGTAATTACCACTTTTATTTATTACCTGCGTTGAGTGAAACTTAACGTGCGATTAATTTAATCCAAAATTCATAAAAATATATGTCCTTGCAAAATTTGAAAACTGAAGTTGCATATGTAAGTGTACAAGAAGGTTACTCGGAATCACGACTCTGACAACGTGGGTCAAAAATTATATTGGCACACCTAATTCTTTCTCTTAGTTGCGCCATCTTTTTGCAAATAAGAAATCTGTTTTCACAAATACGTGCAAAAGTGACGCAAGTGCACGTAAGTAACAACGGAGTGGAATAGTAATAATAGAGGAATGAATAAAAATTCGAGAGTCGAGAAGGAAAATTCCAGCGCTTTGCACTTAATACGTAGTAGAATATTATTAGAAAAAAAATGACACAATATCCTTTTCTAAGTACTGGAATATTGCCAACATTATGATTATAAAAATATGTTTGTCTTTAAATTATTAAAAATATTCTCCATTTTATACAAACACGCGACAGTGCTGCAAAAAAAAAAAAAAAAAAAAGAAAATACCTCTCGTACATTACATTCAATTCTCGAATTTTTATATTATACTCGTTATTGTTCAATTTATTATTGAAAACTACTACACGTTGCACATGCACGTTGCTTTCGTATATAGTAAACTACTTACGAAAACAGATTTTGTTGATGCGTCGTTCGTTCTGACAAAATCAAAAGGTGTGCCGATACTTTTATATTTTTTTTTAATTTTTTTTTTAATCCGTCGTATCCAAAGAAAAATCATCGGAATCGACGAAACGTACCCTGTTGTAAATAATTATTCTATTCTTTCTAACACCGCTCTCCGCCAAATGTTTGTTTCTGTCTTATACGAATTTTTGTAATTGTCGTCTCACCGATTCTCTAATCATAGACCACCGTATATATTACGTACCACTATTATTGAGATATCGAGCAACTTTATTCCCGATTCCTGGTGTCGTTTAGAACACATTGTTAGTGTTGTACGAGCAGTCGAACGATTTTGCTGTGTCGCGCGAAACGGTCCGAGAGATCGCGTAACAGTCAGAAAACGAGTTTCAAATGACGAGATACCCTTCTCTCGACCGAGTTTCGCCTCTTCCTAGTTCCCCGTTTCTTCTTCTCTCTCCCCCTCCCATCCCCTTCTCTTTAACCTTTCGGCTTTTCATTTCACTTTATTTTTGACATCTGTAACAATTTCTGGAAAAGCAAGGATAGTTTTATCCTCGAAAATTGTACAAATTCGAACGTCTTTGGAGACATTGAACAAATGCTTCTTTTTTTTTTCTTTTCGTTTCTTTTTGTGACTAGATTCACCGTGAAGAATGAACTTTGAAGATTGAACTTCGTTTTTTAATTGAAGCTTGAATGTTAGGGTTTCTGAAATTTTTTTCAAATGGGGAATGTTCAGTTTAATGTTCGTCAACTTGGGCCGATCTTACTTTTAACGGTTTGAAAATTTTTTATATTTTATGTTTATTTATATTTTTTATTTTTCACGTTTAAGTTTGAACATTGTTTATATTTTATTACAAACGTCTGAAAATATGCGGGAATCGAAAATGAAGACTTTTGTTAAGAAGTTTCATTGAATTTCTATCGTCGAAGTCCAGCATAAAGTCAAAGTTCGACAAAACAACGAATTAAACTTCAAGTTAGTGAAAAAAAAAACAAATTCAATCTTCAAAGCAAAGATGCAAAGAACTTTCAATGTTTCTGGAGAGAAATTTTCGAGACGTACAAAGACATCTTTCACAAAAAAAAAAAAAAAAAAAAAAAAAAAACAAAAGAACGAACTAGGTTCCCAAGAATAAGAATTTTTCATAAAGATTTTACGCTTTCAAAAGATAAAACCAAGAGTTGACGAGATCCATTTTCTTACAAAGTCACAACTATCGACAATCTTTTCAATTCGGTTCACGTTCTTCGCCACCACGAAAACGGTTGACTTTAATTTCTCTCCCTGCAACGATTCAAATTTCCCCTCCCCACCCTACCCGTTTCTCTCTCGATTGTCCGCAATCCACACGCACCAATCTTTCGGTGAAACGAAAACAAGCATCGACGATTTTCGCAGGCTTTCCACGATTCTTCTCGGCGAAGAGGATCAGAGGAAAGAGGGGAGAATGAGTTAGAGAGACACGGGCAAAGGCGCGGGGAGCCAGCGACACGAGACCGAGCACGCCGGCCTTTTCTCACCCTCGAGAAACACCCTCGTTCCGTCACTCTTTTTCCCCCAACGATGCAGGTACGCCTGATCATCCTGGTCGCCGGTCCTGGTGAACAGACGTTGGGCCAGCCGACGCGAGAACGAACGACGGTGCAACGGTGACCGGGACCCCGGTGATGTGTTGTCGTCTCTCGTGAGTGTGTCTTATTAACGAGAACGCTCCTCTTGATCGGTGATCAGGTAAAAGAAAAGAAAAGAAAAAAAAAAAGAAAAAAAGAGAGAGAGAAAGGCAATCGGAAAGAGCTCTGCACACCGTCGAGTAGCTTATTAATAATTTATTACGTCCATTCTAGCGATGGGATCTTCTTCTGGATGATATCGATCTTTTTTTTTTTTTTTTTCTTGTGTGTGTGTGTGGCGAGATTTGAGAAATTTGTTGATTCGAAGCTTATAACTGTCGACTCGGGATTTTTCGGGAGTTTCGAATGGTTTGGATGTCTTGGAAGTCTTGGCAGGTTTTGAGATGTTGATAAGTATATACTCGTTTCAATGCTGTCTAAATAGGTTTCGAAATTTGCATAAAAATTTCGTTTGTTTGTTATCTATCTTGTAACGTTTGCATTTACTCGAATGTAATTTTCATTGTAATCGGCGAACATCTAGAAAAGTACAGACGTTTTTAATTGGCTCGAGTTGTGAATTGATAAACTACGAGAAGCGATCAGCGAAATTTTTCTAATCTCGGAGATTACTTCTGAATATAAATTAGATTTCACCATTAAGTTTCGTTGCTAACTGCTGTCCAATTCTGTCTTAAATATTAACTCTGTCCTTCGTAATTTCGTGAATATTGTTGATTCAAGAAAACACCGAAGATTCAGCAAGTTAACCAAGATTTTCAAGACTTCTACACAATCTTCAAAATCTTCGAAAAGAGATTCCAACAGCCCCATCGGCTACGTCCCTGCCGGCTTTCTGTTTTCTGATTCGTTCAGTTCGTCGCTTTGCCGTGCAGTGAATTCAGTTTTTCGTTGGAAAAGCCGAATAAATGAAATTTTCATTTGCCAAGGAAAAAAGAAACAGAAAAAAGAGAAACATGTTACATGTATAAGGGACGATCGGTATATATGAATCTGCATTTCTCCAGCATCTCTCTTCTCATTCTCACCCTTTCTGCGCCTTTCTTCTCTCCTCTCTCACAATTATTGCTCTCCGTTTCTCGCACAATTCGCCTAGCTAGTCCCTCGTCGCTTTCTTTCTTTCGTTCTTTTCTTCTTTATTTTGCCGTTACCGCGCAGCCAACAAGAGGAGAAGAAAAGGCGAGACCACCTCTCGTCCTGGGCCGACCTAGATCGGCTAGACACCGTTAGACGCATCTAGGATCGAGACTAAGGCTGATAAACTCGGGTCAACGCATCGTTTCGCTCAACCTTTCACTCGCAATCAGCGGACAGATAGCCAGAGAGCTTCCTCACGATCGTTGATTCGCGATGTAGGTTAAGCCTCGGTCAGTCACTTAAGTATCAAGGGGATCAGACAAAAGATCGTTGATTTCTGTCGATATTTTTCCCAATTGAGGCTCGAAAAATCTTCAAGTTTTTTCACTCTTTCAAGCGAAAGACGCTCGAGACTTCTTTTCTACGTCGATTTGTGATCGAAGCCTCGGTAACTCGAATCAAAGAGGCAGCTAAAGCAATCTTCGTCTTGTCCATTAGCGACTAAAATTTGGAGGTGAAATCTCCGAGTGGGGCCAAGTGAGTTTTGTCAAATGAGAGAAATTTTTTTTCTATCGATTCGAAAGGTAAATCTGGTCTGTCAAGATTTTTTAAAATTATACCAATAAAACAATTCACACCAAACGATCGTACGAAGGTTTTCGCGAATAAACGAAATTGAAGTCTCAGAAACTTCACGTGTCGTAAAATAACGTACAACAAATTTCGTAATATAGTATATACACTTTATCATTAAGAAATTTTCGAATTATTCGAGGTTTTGAAATGAACGAACACGATCAAACTTCGCTTTAACCTCATCTTGCAATTAATTGCAAATGACGCAGCTATTAACATAAATTGATATCGTTCTAATTCGAACCCAGTGTATGAGAAACCAGTAATAGAGGAAGCAGAAGATGGCCGATTTGAAACGAGTACAAGTCGGTCGATCGATCGGCCAGTTTCGGTAACCGATTTCAACTGCTAGAACCGGTTACCTCTCGATCGGTCGATTTTAGTCGGTCAACCGATTATCCGCCAGTCAACTATAAAGAGGACTGGACCATTCTAATTTCTTTCAATTAGGGTCTACTTACGGAACTGAATTCTAAACGCTAGTTTCTTCAAGTGACTTCGACTTTCGCTTCTCTCTTTAAGAAGAATTTTAAGGCTTTGCTGAGCGTTTCAAATTGTTAAAATACGGGACAGAAACTCTTTACGAAGTTAGATTCTACCCACTGAATAAAATTTTCGAAATTTTATTCGGATTATTTGTGAACTAATTTCATTTTACATCATTTGTTACGTATTGATAAAATTTTAATTCATTAACTGTCATTACAGTAGTATCCAAAAAATTGTTCTTCGATTAAGAATATTCATTATTATTTCTTTTTCTCTTCGTCTTAAGATGAATAATCTTTTTCTAATATCTTGAAGTATCGATAAAGGGCAATCACTGTTTTCTCTTTCGTTTCTTCTTTAAGTAAAACACTTTTTTCTAATATCGAGAAAGTTATTCTTCAATTAAAAGTACCTATTGTCTTCCGAAGAAAAGTTGCTTTTGTAATGTCTCAAAGTGGCAAGTTGAAATATGCAATTAAATTCCACACGTTAATTTAATTCAAAAGAACAAGATATCTAATTGCTGTCTTTCCTCTCTCTTTCCTTTCGTTTCTTGAAAAAAAAAAAAAAAAAAAAGAAAAAGAAAAAAGACAAATTTTCCCATTATTAAAATACGAATAAAAAATTTCCGCATTGCATATTTTTCCAACGAAAATACAATTTCTGATCGAAGCAGATGCATGTTTTCATCGCCCTGCTGAAGCTAATTTAAAAACTATGGGGCGACAATTGTTGGTCAAGTGCGCGCCAAGAGTTCCCTCTCGAAGGAATAAAAGATTCTAAGCGAATTTTAGTTTAATTGAAAGTGAACGCGAGTAGTGGACGATCGCGAGTGAATAGAGTGAATGGAGAAAGATCGACGAGATACAGCACGTGGTGAGGGATCGAGAAGAATACTAGTTGAAGATCGTTGATTGAGCAGGACCTCCGCAAACGTCACGTCGCGTCGCATCGAAAGCGAATCCTCTTCGATCTTCGCGAGAGATATCGAACGAAAATGGATATCCTGCGTGAGAAATTGCCTCGACGCGTCAATACGATTTCCTTCGAGTACAATCGAGTGATTGGTTTCGTGATTAACGAGGTTTTTCCAGTAAATGGAGGGGGGCAAGAGTCTGCTGTTGTAAACGGGGTTTGTTGTAACGGTGCAAATGCGATTCTCGCGTCGAACAGTTTCTCGATGCACTCTTTAATGAACGACGAAAGAGTTGGTACAACAGTACACAACTTCGTTTATATGTGAAATCAATTTGTTTGAACGAAATTGTACGTAGCGTTTGATTAAACGGACCCTGTCGATTGAATTCGTTTGTCTGTACTTCCCATTTCATTCTCGTGTTCTGCATTCTACATCCCAGATTCCACACCTCAGATTTCGTATTTCATGTTCTATATTCTATATGTTCTATATTTCCACACACTGTGTCTTACGCGTTTACACGTTTCATGTACCATATTCTACACTTCACATTCCATGTCTCATTATCCTTACGCAGTATTCTACGTCTCACAATTTAATATCTGTAATTTCATATCCCTTATCTTATACTTTGTATATTCCATTTTTTAATTTATATTCCATGTCACACAGATGATAATTTGTTTATGGGCTCCTGTGAATTCTATGATCCCACGAGTTGAATTTCATAGCCCAGAAAACCCCATAATTTCTCACAGAGTTAATTTGCGGGCATCTTCGAAAATTTTTATCTCACGAAAAAAATGAATTTCATCTGCGTAACACAAAATTCTTTACGATATTCCTGAGGAAGAAAATTAAAAAATACAGGGCAATCTTTGTAGACACAATATTGAGATTATTATCATTTCTGCTCACGATCTCAAAATGAAAGAAATGCAAAGGAATTTTATCTGGTACGATGTTAGTATTCTGTTAAGCGACTCTGGTGTTTTTAAAACAAATTGAAGCACCTTTATATTCCGTAGGGGGTGCGTATTTCAGTTTCGTATGAAATTGCGGTCGAAATTAAAACTACGTACTTGTGTTTCGAGCGCTTGCTCGCTCGGTAAAACGAAAATGGAGACGTCGGTAATACAGCACGTTCTTGTTATCGTAGTAATTTCCTTTACCGACGACTGGTGAAGTCATTAACGCTTCTCTATTCCATCTTTCGCTACGATATAGCGATATGCAATTAATTCTTCGTAATATGAATATTTATGTATATGTAAATATGATTTCTTTTTTTTCCCCTCCTTTTTCTTTTCTTCTTTATACACTATGTTTCTAAAACATCATACATGAAAATATTCACTTGTTTCTTGCTGAATAATTATTAACATTTTTTCCGGATATTCAATTAGTTGATTCATTAACAATATGCTTATTTGATTTTGTAATCATAGCGACACTAACAATGAACAGTGGTGAGAATTAATAAAAATTTTATTCTTGGATAACAGATCAGACTTGATTAAATAATTTATTCCTTCTTCTATTTATATTTTTCTTTCATTGAATATTTTTGCTTTTCGAGATATCTTGATATTAGAATAATTGGCAAGAAATATTATTATATTATTATATATTTATTTATTTCAAACTAGCAAAATTTTATATCACATTTCTTATTTGCTGAATGTATTAATTCTCGAAATTATCCAGATGTATTATTATTAAAGGGGAAAGCACGTTTACAAATATTATAGTTATATTTTTAATAACGTATATTTATTTTGCAATTGAATTTTATATTATGGATCTCCCTGATGTCAGCAAACTTCTCCTTTTATTGGATATTTTTATCCTAACTTTTTAAATTATTTCAAATATAAGCAGCGATCGACAAGAGGAATATAATTGTATATTTATTTTACACAATTGTACAAT